AGGCAGGCAAACATAGCGTCTTTGCTACATGTGCTTGTCTCTATTGCCTGGAAGCCCTACGCGCTGGCCGTGAAAAAGAAGTGTAACCGACAAAATCGTGCGCAAGGATTCAGCAGCATGGACTCGTGCTTGTATGTGCTTGTAACGGGATGATGGGGCACCCACTCCTAGCCCATATGCTCAAAAAACATGGTTGGGGGACCTATGAAAATACCTTCGGTATTTTCGAACCCCCCCCAGGGGATAATCATGGGGGATGTCCCATCTCTGCTGCCATTTGTTGCTCATGTTGACCAGCGGTAAGGATCCCACTTAAGCAAAACTCCGAAGTGAAGCGCAGCAAAGGAATCCAAGGAGCAAACTGCTGGGGCTGCTAAGCTGATAAGCGCTCAAAAGAACTGCAAAAGAAACTGTTTTCAATATGGTGCGTGCGCTTACTGGGACGCTGCTCTCATATGGTGCTCGTGGTCCTCGTGGTGCTCGCGGGGTTGTCGTGGATGTGCTCAAAGAATAGCCAGTCGCTCAGCAGGATTGAATCCGGCAGCAGCGCAGTAGTGTCTGATGAGGGGCTGCGCGGTGCTTGGTGGTTTTGCAAGGCTTTCGAAGGCAATGCAAGAGAAGTGGTAGCAGTTGCGTTCTTTTCCAGCGTGCCCCAAGCCTTACCCCCGACGAGTATGTTGGCCTGTTTTTTTTTCCAGCCCTCCAGCCGTTGAAAAGGCATCACGCAACGAAGTGCTCGTCATAGTCGTTGCCGTAGAGCTCGTGTCCAAGGGCATATAAGATGTTGCATCCGAACTCCTTCGCGTTTTGGGCGGTCATCGGTTGCATGTCTCTGAGCATGTTCGTGAGGAAGCCCACGTCACAGGCATGGACCGAAACATTACAGTAGTCTGTTGTGCTTTGTGGGGAGCGGGGCTGGGCGAATGATGATGTCCGTGGAGCTGACGTGGTAGTACCTTGAATGGCTTCTCTTCTGTGGGCCCACCTCCACGATCCCATGTGATGTCATGCTCGAGGAGGACTCCACCGCATATGCGAAATCGAGCGGCTGCAGAAAGGGCATTGACGTACTGCTTCATGCTGTCGTGGATGGGGAAGTTGGGAATTTCAATGCTGCGCAAGTCCACCGAATAGAAGGCAATCTCAGCTGGAAACGTCAAGGGAGCTTGCTGTCCTTTGCTTTCTTCTTTGGGAACACTGCTGAGTGGTTCAGGGGCATCGACTCTGGGACGTAGTTGGATCTCTCAGGGTGCCCTCCGCCATGCCGTGGTTCTCTGCGTTGCTTAAAAAAGGGTCGCGGATCAGCGCGAATCGTAGTTGACCGCCGGGAGGTTGTTGGACTTGGAGGAGATCTAGAATCTTGTTGTAGGTGGAGGAGACCTAGGTCTTGTTGTGCGGGGAGGTGATTTGGGTCTTGAGGTAGGAGGTAATCTGAGTCTTGAGGCAGGAGTTGGGGATCTGCGTCTTGGTGGTCTGGTGCTTGGTGATCTGGTGTTCTGCGTGGAGGACGGCCGCGGCTGTGGCACGACATCTGCAGCTCCAACTTGCATCTTCCTCTGGAAGTATGGCCTTGGTGATATTGTGCGGCCTGCATGTTGCCGGGGAGGTTGCTGAAACACAGAGAAAGGCCTGGGTTTCATCCTTGGTCTTGCTGCATCTGCGTCAATCGAGGTCCAGATGCTGCGAGCGCTGGGGCGTGCATCTGTCGAGGAGTACTCAGCATGCTCATCGTGGATCTCCTGCAGGGCGCTGAGTTCTCTGGCGGAAGCAGTAAGGTGGGCGACCTTCTAGCTGGTGCTCGTTGTGATGGCGTTCTACGCTGCCGCTGAGGCTGAACTCTTGTAGTAGAAGAACTTCCTCCAGACAATGCTAAAAGGGCAGCAGGTACATCTTCGACGTTTTGGACGATGTTCCGGAAAAGAAGTAAACCTTATAGAGCCTTAGAAAAAAAACGACAAACGACCACCCAAAGATTTCCAAAGCAAGAAAACAAACAAATCCAACATCTAAAAGGATGTACTTGACCTAGTTTGATCTCAGGAATAAACTTCAACGTGCTTAATTTCAGCGCTGAACGTCAATGCGTAGTTCTCAGCGAAAAGATCTTAATCTCAAGTGTGCTTTTGTGTTGGGCCTTTTTCGAACCTACCCAAGGATCGCGGAACGTCCCAAAAAAGGCTCAATCGCAAAAAATTGCCTCGAGAGCAGCGGTAATGGCGCCGTGACGGAGAGGCCATGCCCGTTCACACTTGACGCTTGGTTATCCCAGAGATTAGACGTCGTCAGTGTCATTCTGATTTCAGTGATCTCACTGATGGAAATAGAAAAATGTTACATTGGGCCTCTCAATGGGCTGGGTTTCCTTGTTGTGATGTAACATGACTAATCATGACCAAGTGGCAATGTGCACAGAGCAGTATATAGAATACAAACAGGAAAAGGTTGAAAAAACATTGCAGAAAGGAAAATCTTTGCTCCGAGGGGTCTCCAGGCTCAATTGCATGTCCCTTTCGCACTCCCTTGCATCACAGATTGGCCAGTACTGCAGGTACGTCATGGGGACGTCTCCCCATGGTATTACAAGCAAACTGGAGCGTCTTCTTTGGTGCAGGACTCCAGAGTGCTCTTTGCACCCCTCCTCTCAGACAGAAGTCTACAGCGAACCTTTCCCGTTGTAGCTGGGGTTGCACACACACAGAGGATCATTGCTTTCCAGCATGCATTCAAACAATCTTATGCAAAGTGCGCTGCTACTGCGTTCAACAACACCCATGCCTTGTTCCCGAGCATCAAGTGAAGTAAAGTCCTATAGGCACAGTCACTGCTGGTTTGATGGCTCTGGGGTATGGGGCTGGTGGCTGCAAGGCAAACTGCACTACGTACACGACATGATTATCACTTTCTAGCCTGCGCTGAAGCACTCCTATGCAAAGTCTGCTGCTACTGCACTCAAGCACACCTATGCAGAAACAGCGGCTATTGCAGTCAAACAATTCTATGCAAAGCTTGCTGCTACTGCATTGATCTGGACCGGACGCGCCTGCTTCCCCATGCGTCGCCAAGGGTCCTGCAAGCAAAGTCTGTGCAAATTACTTCAGAGAGAACAACAATCCCGGGCAAGACTGGATGCAGAAGAGCTACTGCAAAGCGAGCGACCAGACAGGCAAGGCTCACTGCTGCAAAGGATTACGCTGTATTTTTTCTCGTGTGGAAGAGCTGACGGATCTTTGGCTCCTTAGGCCCAATTGCGCCAGCGGCCTCCCCCGCCAAATTTGGACGGGAGCTTCCATTCAGCTCCGCTGTTCCCACTGTTCCAGTCCTCCCAATTCTGCCACTTCTTGTTGATAGGGTCAGCCTTGTCCGCTGACTCACGGCGCGGGGTCCTTCTCCTTTCTTTTGCGCTTCTTCTCCTCCATTTGCCCCGCCTTCATCTCACGGTACCAAGACTGACTGACGCTTGGTCAGCGGCTCCGTGAGCCCCTTCTGCTGGACATCGCGCATCGCCGTAACGCACCATCCAAAGGTTCCATAATGCCTTAGCTGCCAAAGATAAGTTCCTGCGACAGCTGAAGCAAACGGTACTATCTCGAAAAAACAAATGCTACCAAGCAACACAATTCATTTGACGCAATGACCCTTCCACACATAAGTTCTTTCCCAGCAAACGGCACATGTCCGCAAGTCCCAGTTCTCCTGTGTAGGCGGTTGGATCCTTGCTGCTGGCGAACGGACTTCTTGGTCAGGCCCAAGCTGATGACCGTGTCTATGGACGAAGAGGCTGGCCCTGCCGACCCGGAAGCTGGCTCAAGTGCCCCTAGTGCCGATTGCAATATCGGCCTCATGCGGCATTGTCTGTCGCGTTCTTGCAAGTTAGCTTGCTCAGCGCTTAGGGCTCTCTCCTCAATTTCTGTAGCCAGCCCAGTAATGCAGCGCATGGCCTGTAGGCCTGGGTGCCTGACACTGGTGGACTGCGCTGGTCCTGCAAGAAATTCCCACTCGTCACAACCCAACTTTATTTCTCTTTTGCAAAGTCCAGCGAAATTTTGCCATGTCCTGTACACGTCCCAAAGCCACAAAAGCAAACCACACTGTAAACCAGGCGCCATGTCGGCACAAGAAAGTGGCACAAAGCAAGTCTACACTGGCTTGACGCACAGTTTGCAGAGCGAAGCGGAACTGTGCGAGCTGCAGCCCTTGCAGAACAAAAGCAACTGTGAAGCTGCAGTCTGTCCTCCTTGGCGTCGAAGAAGCGAGGCGATCTCCGCTTGGCGAGACTTTGCAGCTAGAGAAACTTTTAGACACACTAAGCAAGGCTATTGGCTTTGCGGACGGGCGTGACCGCAAGGCACTGCAAGACATTTTTGGAAAACAGGACAATATCCCACTGCTCAGTTTGCCGGGTCCTTGCGTTTGCGCAGCCTGCTGCAAGACAAGGGCTCTCAGTCCCTGGCCATGAGCGGCTTTGTCGCTCAACGTGCTGAAATACGCAGGACGAGTGACGAGGGTTCGAACGGCTTCGAATCCACCCTGGAAAGAATAGCAAGTGACATCCAGCCTACGCACTCATGCCTGGGCTGCTATTCCAATTCAAGGGGGACTTGATAGGGCTTGCATGAATGTTCAGTGCGCATTTCCGAGGAAGTGTCTTCTCGCCTTACGGACCTCGTCATCTGCTGCCTGGGCCACTTGCCAAGACAAAATTCATAGAGGTGCAGTGTCGAGAACAACGCAGGAGCATAGAGTGCTTCAGGTGCATGTGACAGCAAACTGAGGATGGCAGATGCTTCAAAGCTCCTTCCATAGCTGGAGAGACCAAGCTCGCGTGCGCGAACGACGGCAGCTGCAGGTAGGCCCTGTGATGCCATGCCACGGTCTGGGTTGCAGCATTTCCAAAAACAGTTCCTTCTTTGTGGCGAAGGAAGCTGGAAGTGCCTGTCAGCAAGCAGTGTCAAGGGTGCACCTGCCTGGTATTTGTCGGCAAGCGACTGGAAGCGGTAATGCTGCATCTCAGTCGAGAGCAGGCCCGGGCGGCGATGCTTGAGTCAACCATTCTTCAGGCACATGCCTCAAATACAAAGTATTCTTGAAATCCACGAGCACTTGTGGCTTTTGTGGTTATATGGTTGCTGTTAGTTAGATGCTGTTCATCGAAGCAGAATCATGCCACACCTGTGGAAAAAGGCTTGGCGGTATCTTGCCTCGCGGACACACACCGCATGGAGACTGCAGGCCGGGTGCACAACTTGCACGGAAAAGAAGACGCTCCGCGAGCTCGCACGTAAACAATCACTTCTTGAGTCCTTTCTCAACATCCCGAACAGACGCCTCAACGAATGGAAAGACAGGCAATGCGTCCGAATGTTTGCCCAGACCTTGTCTTGTTCAGCCGCCTTTGGCACACAAGTGTGTCTGTCAGTGGAGGGGGTTGGGGAAGCATGGGAAGCTTGGTGGCGCAAAACAGCGCACAGTCCAGAGTACGCACGCGAGGACTTTGGATGTTTTCTTCCTGGGGCTTGCCAGATCGGCACTCGTGAGCTGTTTTAATCAGGGTCCTTGGATCGTCCAGATATCCGGGGCGTTTCCTGGAAATGCTCTTTTCGTCAAGGTTCTCGAATGTGCAAGGACAAAATTGAGATCCAGCATGATGATGACGACTACGATGAGGATGAGGATGAGGAGGGTGATGATGATGATCTTCATCAGAATTTGCGTTATCGTTGTCATGGCCATCAAGATCATGACGATGGCACGGCTTTGTTTCGGATGCCATCAGGCATCAATGCTGCGGCCGCTGGTGCTTTCTAGCATCAGAACGGCACTTGGAGTTGGCATCCGTACAGTGATGTGATGGCGCTGTCAACCACGCGCTGACGGTTGCCGAGTGCTTGTGCCTGTGTACCTGCCTATTGGGATAAAGTTCTTTTGTGAGTCAGAGCCGGAATCTTGGGAGCAGCTCGCGGCTCTAGAGAACCCTGAATCACCTGGCATAGGCGGTTTCAAGCTTCCAGTTAGGATTTCCAGTTATATTTGGCGGTTATGAAAACTTCAGGGTTGGTTGCTGGGGACCATTTTTGAAATTTGGGGCCTTCTGAGGGACAATTCCGCATTAGGGCATTCTTGGGAGCCATTTCAAGAAGAAGGGCCTTTTAGGGTTTATTCCAAAAAAAACTTTACGAAGGGCTATTCAGAAATAAGGACTTATTAAGGACTGTTCCAAATTGGGGCCTTATTATTACAGTAGTAAGGACTAGGCCGGCCCTGTTCTAAAACAGGGCCGGCTTCAATTATTCCTGTCAGAGCCTGCAATTATTCCGTGCCAAGGCAAGTTCGCTCTATTCCATGGCATTTTCATTATTCCGTGCCGGCAAAAGTTCGCTCTATGCCGTGGCCATTATTATTGGGAGGGGGGTCAAAAAAAAACAAATAAGGATCAAAAAAAAAAATCCTTGATTTGATAGTAAAACACAGTATTTCTGGCCTCCCGACTAGGGATCAAAAAAAAAACAAATATTCGAGCCCCAAGCCGGAGGAGGAAAGAAAGAAAGAAAGAAAGCAGGAATAAATAAAGAAAGAAAACATGAAGAACA